CCAATGTACGTAGGTATTATACAGCTGAAATGTTTATTATTTGCATGGTCGTTATTAGCACTTAAAATACATTGTGTTGTTTTACGTCTAATCAACGGTCAGAATCACGGACGTTACGAAATTATTACGTCCTGGTGATATACCTACCTACACAGAACGTGAACGTGTTTAATGTACCTTACCTACCATGTGTTTTGATACGAATGGTACTTAATAATATTTTAATATACCTATAATGGTGAATGGTGATGTTTTTTTTAGGGCTTTTATTGTAAAAATGTAATTTGTTATCGATCTGGCATCGTCTGCGCGATCCAAACATTGACGAGATGAACCCACAATATTATTACGTCGATCATCTATAACCTATATATTATATAGGTATCTTCAGTGATGACGGTGTATCGTGTATGGCTCACTACGGCGGGCCCCTCCTCAGCAGCCTGTCAAGGTATAAGTTCGTTGTTGGAAATCTAATAAAACTTATAAATATATTATTATTAAATGTCTGTTATTTTGGGCTCGATGTGTGTAATAAAAGGTCAGGTTCCCCTCAAGAGCGATCGTCGAGTAGGTAGGTACCCATCTGGCCAAATAATACAGTAGTTATAGTCGGACAGGCCAGACGAACTGCACTAGCTGCAGTCATGACACCGATTGTGCAGATTGCAGCTAGTTATAATACGCTTTCATTCATAAAATAATTCAAACACCGAAGTAGGTACTAGCTACGCGTTAATAATCTGAGTCAGTAGGACGATTGTAGAACCCAACTAAAGTTTTTCTGACGGAAAAATATAACGAGTGGGAAGTCGTATTCTCAATATTCTCATATGCATAGACATAGTACTTACTGCTACAGTATACTCATGATTCATATATGGCTATATATTATAATATACATAATACATGTATGTAATCTATACAACGATATTGTGGTTCGAGTGGGTGGATATTTGTAGGTCACATATATTGGTAGGATGATGGGCAGGGGAGAGATTAAAACGTACCTATAAGTGTTACATACGTAACCGTTGAGGCCATGAGGGAGAGGGTCAATAACTCCCCCAAGTATCTCCAACCACTAATCGCCTTATAGTATAGCTGGTATTTATAGTTTGTCACTGCAACAAGACGTAAGCAATAATGAAATATAATATTATAATATTATACTGACGATCCGTATATAATATTATGCCACACTTTTCAAAGAACAATTTACCCGGAAAATCCCAAACAGCAAACCGATAGCAAACAAGTGCAAAACCTTCATAATAACTATAGTAGGTAGGTAACGATTTCAACTGGAGATCGAAGAGCAGACCGCCGAGATGGAAAAATCATGTTTTCAGCGGTTTGCAATTTTGCATGCAATGGCTATAGTTAATATTATAGTGCTCGTCCCGGCGATATTACACAGCGCCGCACACAACACAATATATTATATTATTTTGATCGCTGCAAAAACCGCCAAATATGGTCAATCGCGGCGTTATGAAAACATTGGAAACGTTAATCAGACTTTATATTTATATACATATTACGTGCATAATATAATATAGGTATACCAACGCAGAGCGCGCGTGTGCGTGTATTTAGGTACATACGTTCTCCTTCGATTTCCATTTTGGGTATGTCTCAATATCTCGCGTATTTGCGCCGGATAAACCGGCTGCCTACGTATATCCCGCCGTCCTGCGGAGGAAGGCTGCATCATCGATATTTATACGAAGGTTTGAGTGGGAGTGCCTTACATGGTCTGGAGAATCGGAGAAGGAAATCGTAACGCGTGCGACCGGTTTGGTACGACGGGCATAATATAACAACAAAATATAATAATATTATTGTGAAAAATCTCAACCGCACAGTTTTCATCGTATTATAAGTATACCTACGGAATTAGATAGGTATGTCGTGTATATTAAATATAATGGTCGAAAATCATTTCTGGAGGCACAATATATAAAACTAAGCCTAAAAAATATTATATAAAACGGAAAATAATGTTAAATTACTATATTCCGCCGAGACGAGAGTTCTTAATCCCCCAAAATACCCCCCTCCCACCTCCACTAGTTTCATTACGTTGCGTATAACGAAGGCACATCATTGTTGTTAAGAGAGTATGCATTTTATTATGTTGTGTACGATGTACCAAATATTAATACGTCTAAAACGAATCGTAATAAAAATATACATGACGCGTGATGTTACAATAAATTAGTGACGTAAAAATGTATTAGAAAAATGAGTGATGCGTTGACTTAAAAGTTAACATTTTTAATTTTGTTTCAATTTTCTATTTGCTTACTAAACTACTGTAACGATGGCAATAGTAAATGATTATGCTCATGTCAGCAAATTCCTAAAAATAATATTCTTAAAAAAGTTATTACGTTCCAAAATAATTTAATACAAAACATTCTAAAAAATAAACTACTTGACTTATATAAATGTTTTTACTATCAAAATTGTTCTTACAATCAGATTCACACATTCGCTATTTTGAATTTATCCAAAACAATTTCAATCAAATTAAAATTTTTTTATTTTCAGTATTAAAAAATAAAAATATTTTTTTGTTTATTAGGTACCTATATGTGTAGCGCGAGTGACTAAAAATTATATATAAAAAAACTTTAAAATTTTGAATACCTATACCGAAAGTTATTTCATTGTCAGATCTCGGTACTATACTCTGTAATATTATAAGCCGCATCGAATATAAAATACTTACACTTTCTTCACATTTATACACATTTTATAGGTACCTATTATTTGTTTTTCAGTTAGGTAGGCACCTATAATAATTTTAAAACGATAATTATTTATGTTTATGGTTGTTTTGACTTTTGTTTAACTTTTTGCACTCATTAATGGAAACATTCTTTTGTTTGGTGACAATATTGTTGTACATTTGTTGTTTTAACGATGTGGTTTTTTATTCGTATATTGTATAATCAATAAACTTACAAATGCATTATTTAAAGTTTGTTATACCGAAAACCTACCTAATCTAATCAATGAAAAGGGTTGAAGATTATGGGATTTTAAATTATTTTTCATTGACTTGAATAATTTATATAAGTATTATAAATTATAATGTGTATAATAATGTGTCCTTATGACCAATAATGTTCTACTATAGTAAATTGGACATAATTATAATTGAATTAAAATGCTTAACATGTTTGTTCCATTTATACTAAGACGTATAGGTATATTCTTTCAGCTCTTTGGACCTCGAAGTAATTCTAAGAAGTATGTACAGTACCGGTGATCTTATTCTCGAAATATTATTTGTATGGCTAAATACGGTTACCTACTTACCGACTACATATAAAAGTACAAAACAAGTATTCATTGCAAGCAGCATGCCAGTCTCTTAAAATTTTCAAGAAAATAAACCAAAATAAATAATAAATTTAATAAATCCGTAACTTTATTTTTATGCTTATAGAAAATATAATTTTCTTTGGGCACGTGAACAATTTTCAAAACCTTGATTTGAAAAATTTGGCATTTGACCCAAAAAATGTTCGCCACCCCTGATATAGGAATGTCAAATAAATAATATTATTATTAATAATATATTATTTTGAATTTTTGAAGCGTTGAATATATTTATTGAATTATTATTATTATTTTCAATGCCAAGGAGGCTCGTATAATTTAAACATCAAAATAGCGTAAAAGTATAAGTTTTAATTAACACAATGTTATCATTGTAATAAGTAATATTATTTTATTTGTTATCTAATATTATAGTATTATACTGTTTAGTCATAAAGTGTAATAGATACTTTATAAATAAAAAAAGGTTACAAATAATAAAAGATTTAAATAATAACTAGTGTAGGTACTAAAACGTTTAAGACACACGTCATGCGATAATAGAGTAATCGATAAAGAAATAATAATAATTTTTAAAATTTTAAGATAGGTACGTATTTAAAATTATTTTAAGTATTTCCTACATAGTTTTTATTTCAACATTATGTAGTCAGTACTGTGTTGTATAATTTAGTATTAAGATGTTATATAGGTATATTTTACGAATGTTTAATAATACGTTTTCATAATAAGTGCACGATTTCATAAATCGTATTCTTTTTTATGCATATACGAATTGCTTACGAGTTGTCTGCAATGCTTTATAGGTAAGTATTTTAAATGCACGAACCAATACAATCATTTAAAACGATTTAAATTGTTTATGTTTCTACTATAGCTACCTATATAATATTACAGATACAAATCAACAACTAAAATAACAAAGTATACCTAGGTACTGAAATATGTGGGCAAATACCAATACCAAGGAATTAAAAATTAAAATACGTATATAATTATTAATACTCAACATAATATAATTATGGTGGATAAAACGTATTTTTATATAGGTATTAATGTATTATTATATCAGCTATTTATTAATTATATATTGTTTCTGACGAGAAATGCGTGTGTAATTTAAAATAATAAGTAATAACTAATACGTAGGTATTACGTGTATATAGTATATTTCTAATGATTAAACACGAACCGTTGATACTTAGAAAAAGTAAAATATGAAATATTATCAAGTTCTATATTATGATAAATTTATTTAGTTCAAAAAATAAATGACTATTAGAGATGAGTAGGATAAAAAATTGTCATAGGTAGTCGGCGTAGGACGAAACTGGTTTAAGAGAGTTGCATTATAATAGTGTTGTGGAGGTTTGTGAAGGCGTATCCCACTTACTGCGGGCCACCTCTTCGATTCTCGAAGCACAGCGTTCAGCGAGATTCTCGTCCGTCAGTTAGTAGTCGAATAACGCTGTACTCATTCGCTCTGTTGTTATACTGTTTATTTATTTTTTTTAATATTAATATTTTTGTTTGTGCGATCGTTAATGTGCGTCGAGTGTTTTTTTGTAGCTATTGCAGTGCTATAAGAATTGTTAAATTATTATTTGTTTAATTACTTTAAATAATAATAATAATAATTAAAAAAAATGTTTAAATCTACAAAAAAAACCAAAGACCCTACCAAAAATCGAGCTGTAAGTGACACTGCAAAGGTAAGTGAAAAAACTATTATTAAGAATGAAAGCTCGACGGTGGTTCCGAAACAAATGTTCAGCAGTAGGGTAGCTAACGAACAGCCATTGAACGTAAGCGGTAAAGGGCGCAGTTCAACGCCACAGACCACGAAAAAGACGTTAGTCAAAGGCGTCGTATCTAGGCAGGCTGCAGAATCATCATCCACGGCTTCTATTTCAAAATCACTAAGCTCGTCTTCCATAAAAAAGACTACAACTGGTAAAAGCATTAAGACCATCACCACTGTCGATCAAGATGGCAATATCCATACGACCGTGGAAACGGTAGACGATATACCACAATCGACCACAGAAACCACTACCGAAGAGTCGAACACCGCAGATTCGGCCAACGAGTATGTCGAGTATGCCGACCAATATTCCTTTGAAGGTGCCATAGAAACGTCAGAGGGATTGACCTCGCCGGGGTACTCTACATCAAATCGCTTAACTTCGTCGCAGAACTTTGAAAATGAATCATCGTCGGTTGATCAATCGATGTCTACGGAGACCAATTATAATACCGTTACCTCACACGTTAGTTCCGAATCAAAACAACTGTTGGATGTAAAGGATACAATACAACACGAAAATACAGTAAGGTCAGTAAATGGGAAATTAATTAAATCTATAGATGTTACGTCACGTGATAACTCAAATTATTCATATCCACCAAATATTAGAGGACAAGTCGATTTTACAGACACAACGATTAATACAAATAAAAATTCTTCCGAAAATAAATCTTCAAGTGCTACAGAACTTGACGAAATAAAAAATTTTAATCATGGTAGAAACCATCAACAAATAAATAACGAATCAATAGAACTAAAATCATCTGCGAATATTTTTAATTTATTGAGTGACACTAAAGAAAAAGCATCTACTTCACGGGACCACGAAAATAAAATTTCTAAAGATAATGTTGATAACCAAGATATAAGTTCGGGATTAACAGTAAAAATGGTCGGTGGAAAATTGATAAAACAGTTTAATACACCGTCAACATCTAAGCAATCTCGAAATATCGTGAATACTAAAGAGGCGGATATAACATACAATGTGGATAGTAATAAACAACAGTATCAAAATAACGTAAGAACTTCATTTGAATCAGATATAATTGATCAAAATGTATCTACCGATAAATCTAATGATTATAATTCTGAGATGTTCATAACACAAAAATATATACCGATATTTTCAAGATCAAATCAAGAAATTGATGAAATAACGTCATCAAGTAATGAAAATTCAAAATCATTTTATGAAAAAACTAATAAAATTGATGATCCCAGGTATCAAATTAATACTGAATATAATACAAAAGATTTATTTGGAAAAAATAAAAATGTTGATAATGACGGCTTAACAGTACGCATGGTTGGTGGGAAATTAATTAAATCTTTTAAAGAACCGATAAAAACCCCCAAAATTGTATCAAATATCTTAACGTCAAGTAATACATCAAATAGTGACATTTCATCCGGTGATATCACAACATCAACGTCCTTTATTACAAATGAACAATCATCTATCTCGAATTCATTTGGTGAAACAAATAAATCAAATTCAAAAACTTCCAGCTCTGTATATCAAACTGCAGACGAACAAGATACATTTAAAAATCAGAAACAGCCAGATTTAAAAAATAGCAAATTAAAAAACGAAAAATTTGTTGATAATGTCGATGATGAAAGTTTGAAAGTGCGTGTAGTTGGTGGAAAATTAATTAAAACTTTCAATGAACCAACAATTTCAAAAAAAAATATAGTTGATGTGTCGAAGTTAAGTAACATTTCTAGTGATATTTCTTCAAGTGATATTACAACGTCGACATCGTTTTCAACAAACGAACAAACTTCAGTTTCAAGTTCATTTGCAGAAAACGATCATTCAAATTTTAATACGTCAAGATCTATGTACCAATCAGTAGACCGACCAGATGAAACCAAACACATACAACGGCCAGATACTAAGAAAGAGAAATCTAAACCAAACAAATCCGTTGAAAATGTTGATGAAGAAGGATTGACAGTTCGTGTAGTCGGTGGAAAATTAATTAAAACTTTCAATGATCCCACAACATACAAACAAAATAATACTGATATATCGAAATCAAGTAATATTTCAACAAGTGATATTTCATCAAGTAATACTACAACATCTACATCGTTTTCTACGAATGAACTAACTTCGGTTACGAATTCACACGTAGAACGTGATCAATCTAATATTAACGATTCCAAATCTTTGTATCAAACATCAGATCGACCATATGAAACAAAAAACCAGAAACACCTGAACAGTAAGGAAGATAAATCAAAACAAAAAAATGCAGGTAAAAATGTCGACCAAGAAGGCTCGACAGTGCGTATGGTTGGTGGAAAATTAATAAAAAAATTCAATGAGCCAACGCCATCCAAGAAAAACAGTTTTGACGTTTCTAAATCAAGTAATATTTCATCTAGTGATATTTCATCTGGTGACATAACAACATCAACATCATTTATCACAAATGAACAATCGTCGCTTTCAAATTCATTTGGAGAAACTGACCAATCGAGCATAAACACATCAAAAACATCGAAGTCTAAAAATGAGAAAACTGATGATTTCAAAAATAAGAAACAGCCCGAGTCAAAAAAAGAAATGTCTCAACCAATAACTAAAGTTGATATTGTCGAAGAAGAAGGTTTATCTGTACGCATGGTCGGCGGGAAATTAATTAAGACTTTCAAAGAGCCAACTCCTTCAAAAAAAAATAATATTAACGTTTCGAAGTCAAGTAATATTTCAACTAGTGATATTTCATCAAGTGATATTTCTACGTCAACATCCTTTTCTACAAACGAACAAAGTTCACTTTCGGGTACATTTGAAGAACGCGATCAATCAAATATTAAAGCAACCAAATATTTGTATCAATCATCGGATCGTTCCCATGAAACGAAAAACGCGAAATCGGCGGACCCTAAGAAAGATAAATCTATACCAAATAAATCTATTGAGAATTTCGATGAAGAAGGTTTGTCTGTACGTATGGTTGGCGGAAAATTAATAAAGACTTTCAAAGAGCCAACACCGACAAAAAAAAATACTACTGACATGTCTAAGTCGACTAATATATTAACTAGTGACATTTCATCTAGTGATATTTCTACATCAACATCATTTATGACAAATGAACAATCATCATTTTCTAGTTCATTTGGAGAAACTGATCAATCAAGTACAAACGCATCAAAAACCTCGAAGTCTGAAAATAAGAAAACAGATGATTCAAAAAATAAGAAACAGCCAGAGATTAAAAAAGACTTGTCTAAACCAATAACTACAGTTGATATTGTTGACGAAGAAGGTTTGTCTGTACGCATGGTTGGTGGAAAATTAATTAAGACTTTCAAAGAGCCAACACCGACAAAAAAAAATACTACTGACATGTCTAAGTCGACTAATATATTAACTAGTGACATTTCTTCTAGTGATATTTCTACAACAACATCGTTTATTACAAATGAACAATCATCATTTTCTAGTTCATTTAGAGAAACTGACCAATCGAGTACAAACGCTTTAAAAACCTCGAAGTCTGAAAATAAGAAAACAGATGATTCAAAAAATAAGAAAAAGCCAGAGGTTAAAAAAGACTTGTCTAAACCAATAACTACAGTTGATATTGTCGACGAAGAAGGTTTGTCTGTACGCATGGTTGGTGGAAAATTAATTAAGACTTTCAAAGAGCCAACACCGACTAAAAAAAATACTACTGACATGCCTAAGTCGACTAATATATTAACTAGTGACATTTCATCTAGTGATATTTCTACAACAACATCGTTTATTACAAATGAGCAATCATCATTTTCTAGTTCATTTGGAGAAACTGACCAATCGAGTACAAACGCTTTAAAAACCTCGAAGTCTGAAAATAAGAAAACAGATGATTCAAAAAATAAGAAACAGCCAGATGTTAAAAAAGACTTGTCTAAACCAATAACTACAGTTGATATTGTCGGCGAAGAAGGTTTGTCTGTACGCATGGTTGGTGGAAAATTAATTAAGACTTTCAAAGAGCCAACACCGACTAAAAAAAATACTACTGACATGTCTAAATCAAGTGATATTTCCACTTATGACGTTTCATCAAGTGGTATTAAATCGTCAACATCATATTCTACAAATGAACGAACTTCGGTTTCAAGCTCTACCGTAGAAACGGATCAGTCTAATTTAAAAACGTTCAATTCTGTACATAAAACAGGCAGACCAGACGAAATCAATAATAAGAAACATCCAGACGCTAAGACAGAAAAATCTAAACCAAATAAACCTGTTGTCAATGTCGACGAAGAAGGGTTATCAGTGCACATGGTTGGAGGAAAATTAATAAAGACTTTCATAGAGCCAACACTGCCCAAAAATAATATTATTGAAATTTCAAAATCAAGTAACAGTAACAATGTAACTAGTGATATTTCTTCAAATGAGGTTACTACGTCATCATCGTTTATAACTAATGAACAATCATCATTTTCAAGCTCATTAGAAAAATCTGACCAATCAGATATAAAAACATTAACGAAATCTAAGTCTGTAAATAAAAATACTGACCAATTAGATGAGCCAAAATATAAGAAACAGCCAATCCTGAATAAAGACAAGTCCAAACCAATATCTACTGTCAATATTGTCGATGAAGAAGGCTTGTCTGTACGTATGGTCGGTGGAAAATTAATTAAGAACTTTAAGGAGCCAACACCTACAAAAAAAACTATCACTGATGTTTCAAAGTCAAGTGATATTTCAACTTATGACATTTCTTCAAGTGGTATTACAACGTCAACATCGTTTTCTACAAATGAACAAACTTCGGTATCAAGTTCTATTGGAGAAACTGATCAGTCTAATTTAAAGACATTCAATTCTGTGTATAGAATAGACAGACCAGATGAAATAAATAACAAGAAACAGCCAGACGTTAAGGAAGAAAAATCTAAACCAAATAAACCTATTGAAACGGTTGATGAAGAAGGTTTATCTGTACGCATGGTTGGTGGAAAATTAATTAAGACTTTCAAAGAGCCAACACCGACAAAAAAAAATACTACTGACATGTCTAAGTCGACTAATATATTAACTAGTGACATTTTATCTAGTGATATTTCTACAACAACATCGTTTATTACGAATGAACAAACTTCGGTATCAAGTTCTATTGGAGAAACTGATCAGTCTAATTTAAAGACATTCAATTCTGTGTATAGAATAGACAGACCAGATGAAATAAATAACAAGAAACAGCCAGACGTTAAGGAAGAAAAATCTAAACCAAATAAACCTATTGAAACGGTTGACGAAGAAGGTTTATCTGTACGCATGGTTGGTGGAAAATTAATTAAGACTTTCAAAGAGCCAACACCGACAAAAAAAAATACTACTGACATGTCTAAGTCGACTAATATATTAACTAGTGACATTTCATCTAGTGATATTTCTACAACAACATCGTTTATTACGAATGAACAAACTTCGGTATCAAGTTCTACTGGAGAAACTGATCAGTCTAAATTAAAGACATTCAATTCTGTGTATAGAATAGACAGACCAGATGAAATAAATAACAAGAAACTGCCAGACGCTAAGAAAGAAAAATCTAAACCAAATAAACCTGTTGAAAAGGTTGACGAAGAAGGTTTATCTGTGCGTATGGTCGGAGGAAAATTAATTAAAACTTTCAAAGAGCCAACACCGTCCAAAAAAAATACTACTGACGTGTTGAAGTCAAGTAATATTTTAACTAGTGATATATCATCAAGTGATATTACAACGTCAACATCGTTTACTACAAATGAACAAACTTCGGTTTCAAGCTCATATGTAGAAAGTGATCAATCAAATTTAAAAATATCAAAAACGTCTAATCCTACAAATCAAAAAACCGATCGACCAGATGTTACAAAAATCAAGAAACGACCAGAAGCTAAAATAGATAAGCCCAAACCAAAAACTACTGTTGATAATGTCGACGAAGAAGGCTTGTCGGTACGCATGGTCGGTGGAAAATTAATTAAAACTTTTAAAGAGCCGTCTCGAAATGTTGTAAAAAATACTTCTAAATCTAATACATCGAATACTAACTTAAACAGCCAACGTACTAATGTAAATTTAGATAGTAGTTCACAAGTTTTAAATACAACTTATATTATTGATGAATCATCCTCAAATAATGAAGTAATTAAGACCGTTAAGACTAGTAATGACAGTAGTACAACAATCGTTGATGGGAAAACAGTAAAAAGTTATAAAGGACCCGAGAGGTCTCCACGGAAACCGAAATCTGATGTTCCAAATAAAACGAATGCAGACGTTATGCCTTTTGATAATAATTATATTACGTCGTTGAACGATACTAAACACGTTCACGATGTATTTTATGACGTTTCCGAAGAATCTTACATCGAGTCTCGAAAGTTTTCGGAGCAATCTATAGTTCAAGATTTTCAAGTAACATCGAATACGTCGGAATATTATCCCGAAAGGCCTGCTAGAAATAGGGATGTAAGAGACAACATAGTTGTTCAAGATATCACCGACTTTGTGTCTGTTTCAAATCATGCAGAAGTTATAGAAAATATAAAAACTTCCGAAGTGGTGTTCGAAAAATCAGTTGTAAAAGGGATGACCGAAAATTATGAAAACCGCGTATCTTCATCGAAAAAGGTCCAAGAAAATAAAGTAGACAAAAAGCCAAGACACCAAAAGGAAATTACTGCAACGCCGAAGGAACAATGTATTTGCGAAATTTGTACCTGTGGGTAAGTCAAAACAAACATTTATATGTAAACAAAATATTATAACGATTCAAAATAATTACTAACTCAAAGTAGGTAGGTACGTTTTAAAATCGTTTTTTTTTAGATTCTGAGCGGAGCGATGAATGTATTGGTTTTACAATGATGTATGTTTTTATATTTTTATTTATATTTTAATATTTTTATATTTTTATATTTTTGTGTCTGTCATCACGTTTTAGGACAGTAAAAGTGCTTCGATTTTCTTCAATAGTACCTTTTCTGATAGGAAAGTGAATCTAGTTGGTACTTTGGGGGGTCAAAAGTAAACATTTCCCAGTAGTTTTCACAAGCGCCGGGAAAAACAACATAAAAATTAAGGAAAAACGGGAATTTTTACGCAAAATTGGTTTTCCAAAAAATCGATTTTGGTTATTGATGTAACTCTAAAACAAATGAACGTATATACATGAAATTTTCACTGGTTGTTAATATTTGCATTTTCTATACACGATAACATTTTCAAAATATTTTGATTTATTTTGAACTGTTTAGGGACATTTTCATTTTCCATTTTTTTTTAGTTTTTTTTCTAAAAATATCAATAACATTTTATTTGTTGGTTGCGAAAGCTTGAAAATTTAATAGAAGGCTCCTAATATTTTGTTTCAAAGGCAGATGAAAAATATTAAAAATCCTTAGTCACAATTTTTTTTTATAAGCATTTAAAGTTCAAAAATTGACAAAATATGGAAAAATCACGAAAATTAGCAAATTATTTTGAGTTAAGAATTCGTAAAAATTTTTCTTTTTAAATCTAAGATTTGAAAATGAAACACAAGATTCCTTATAAGATTATCTACCTTTATCAATAAAAAAATCTCTACCGGACAGTCAAATTAAAGTTTTATGAGCGTTTGAAATTCAAATTTTTACAACATTGGATTTTCACTCGATTTCTCATGTAGCGATTTCCTTATTTTGTTGCAATTCAAAAACGAACAACTGTAGATACATGAAAATTTCACTGAATATTTAAATTAGCATTTTCTATACACCATACAATTTTGAAAATATTTTGACTCTTTTTGAGCTGTTTATGGACATTTACAGCTTTCAATTTTTTTTAGTTTTTTTTTCTATAAATATCAATAAAGTTTTATTTGTTGGGCCAAAAAGTGTAAAAATTTAATACAAGGCTCCTGATATATTGTTACAATATCAGTTAAAAAATATTAAAAATACATAGGCACGATTTTTTTTTATAAGCATTTATAGTTGGAATTTTGACAAAATTTATCAAAATCTCAAAAATTATCAATCGTTGGAATTAAAAAATTATAAAATGTTCAGTTTTTATAACTAAGAGTTGAAAATTTAAAACAAAGATTCTCTTAAATAATTCATACTGTAACCAAAAAATCTAAAAAATATATAAACACACTTATTTTTTACAGACATTTTAATTTCAAATTTAGACAAAATTTCATATTTAAACCAAGAATTACGATTTTAGTTATTTTGTTGTGATTGAATAATACTATTCGTGGGTACTTGAAACTTCTAAAGTGTACTATTATATATCTATGATAGTATCACGGTTTTTGTTGATGTATAACGCGTTATAAGTATCTAATGGATATTGTGATATGATTAATTTGGAATTTATTATAGGTACCTATTATAGGTCAATTTTTAGTTTAATACCATAGATATGTATATAATATGCCTTATACATAGACTGACATACCGTCACCGCTCAGAATCGTTTTCTTATACAATGATATTATATCATTGAATTCAAATTTAATACCATCCATTATACAGTGACCCACTTGTAACCTACTGTACAGCAGAGCGACACCCACTTGCCCACCTTTTTTTTTTTTTGATCTCGAAAGAAAATTAATTGGAAAATTTCGAGTATCTAATCGAGTATGATGATGTCGCCTATAATTTCTTTGACATTTAATGTAGACACTGTCCCTGAATTTAATGTCTTAAGTTTTTGATTATTGAGGCATTTAAACCTTGAATTATTCAAGCATTTAGTATTGCACATAATATGATACTAATTTATAAATATAAAAATAATAAGTTAAATCAGATAAAGAGGACTTGCTTTTTATAAATATTTATTTTTAGTGTCTGTTAGGTAACAGTTAGGTGTTCTATGCTATCGGCGTTATCATATTCTCACATTATTGCCATAAAAAATAAAATTGATGTAAACAAAGTTATATGTAATGAACACCTTGACATCTTGACACTATACTGTGTTGGTATACAGGGTGTATACAGGTAGAACTGATTTTTGGAATAACTTTTGTTCTAATCAATATTTTCAAATTTTTTTTTATATATATAATTTATAGCCTACTATAGATACTTGTGCTACAAGTGTAATAGAAAAAAAAATTATTTTCATTTTTAGATTCTAAGTGAAACGATGAATGTATTGATTTTACAATGATGTGTGTTTTAGATTCTGAGTGAAACGATGAATGTATTATAATAAATTTTACAAAGAAGTTTGTTTTTTTTTAACTTTTTAATTTTTGAGTCTGTCATCAAGCCAGGTTTGGGGCAGTAAAACTGCTTCGATATTTTTGAACAGTATCTTGCTCGATGGGAAAGTGAATCTAGTTGGTGCATTGGGTAGGTCAAAATTTAAAATTCCCATTATTTTTCCAAAGCGCCGGGAAAAACAACATAAAAATTAAGGGAAAACGGGAATTTTTACTCAAAACGGTTTTCGACAAAATCGATATTGGTTTTTGGTGCAACTTTAAAACAAATGAACGTATATACATGCAATTTTCACTGGTTGCTTATATTTGCATTTTCTATAGACGATAAAATTTTCAAAATATTTTGATTTGTTTTGAACTGTTTAGGAACATTTTCAGTTTCCAATTGTATTAGTTTTTATTTCCATGAAGGTCAATAAAACTTTATTTGTTGAGTAAAAAGGCATGGAATTTAATACAACACTCCTGCTATATTATTACAATGTCATTTTAAAAATATTCAAAATCCTTAGTCACAGTTTTTTTTATAAGCATTTAAAGTTCAAATCTTGACAAAATACTTAAAAATCACGAAAATTAGCAAATTATCTTGAGTTAAGAATTCATAACAATTTTCTTTTTAAATTTAAGATTTTAAAATGTAATACAAGATTTCTTTTAAGATTATCTACCTCTATCAAAAAAAATAAGAAATTCAAATTAATTTTTTCACTCGATTTCTCATGTAGTGATTTTCTTATTTTGTTGTAATTCAAAAACGAATAACTGTATAGATACATGACAATTTCACTGAATGTTTATTTTATCAATTCTTATTTTCAAAATATTTTGACTTGTTTTGAGCTGTTTACGAACAATTTAGTATTTCAAATTTTTTTTTTTTTCCATGAATATTAATAATGTTTTATTTGTTGGGTAAAAAACCATGACAATTTAATGTAATAAGGCTCCTGATATATTGTTACAATAGCAGTTGAAAAATATTAAAAATAGGCACAATTTTTTTTTATAAGCATAAAGATCGAATTTTGTCAAAATTTATCAAATTTAAAATTGAATAATTATTTTGTAGATAAAAATGAATAAAATGTTCAACTTTTAAATCTAAGGATTGAAAATTTAAAATAAGATTCCACGTATGTAGTTAATTCTGTTACCAAAAAATCTAAAAAGTACATAAGCTCAGTTTATTTTTATAGTCATTTTAAGTTCAAATTTAGACGAAATTACATATTAAAAAACCTAGAATAACTATTTTAGTTATTTTGTTGTGATTGTATAATATTATTCGTGGGTACTTGAAACTTCTAAAGTATGCTATTATATATCTATGATAGTATAACGATTTGTTGTTAATGTATAACGGGTTATAAGTATCTAATGGCTATTATGATATTATTAATTTGGAATTTATTATAGGTGCAATTTTTTTTTAATAATATAGATAAGTATATAATATGTCTTATACCTAGACTGACATACCGTCTTCGCTCAGAATCGTTTTTCTTATACAATGATATTATATCATTGAATTCAAATTTAATACCATCCATTATACAGCGACCCACTTGTAACTTACTGTACAGCAGAGCATTTTTTTTAATTTTGAAAATTAAAATTTAAAATTTTTTTTAATTAATTCAAAATAGCCAATTTGTGAATCTGATTTTAAGAACGATTTGGATGGTAAAAACATTTATCTAAGTCAAGTAGTTTATTTTTTAGAATTTATTAAAATATAAATTGTTTTTTGATTAAATTTATTTGGAACGCAGTAACTTTTTTGAAAATATTCTTTTTGGAAATTCGCCAACATGGGTATATTTTTAAACTATTTACTAATTATATCATTTTATCAATTTTTATCATACGTGGAAGTAGCATCAATTTTTTTTTTATTGGTCAGTTCTTTCTATATTACACTCTGTATAAGTATATTATTATTATAGATATTTAATTAGGGTACACCCTAATATATTCGTGTAAAATGTAAATACTTAAAGTATAATAATTATAGGCATTATATATTATGTTAATATGTGATTTATGAAAAAATGATTAAAGTATCTTTTTGAAGTATTATACAAGCGACGATGGAGCATACATAAACAGTATAAGTATAATAAATCATAAAAAAAATATTTAAAACTGTTTGAATTGTAAGTCTTCTAGGTATACAATGATTATCAAATAATAGAACTGGACGAATTATATATTAATTGAAATAATAATTATGTGGGTTAGGCATTTTTCACTCGTTGTGCAAGACTTCAATTAACGTTCATATGGTCTACAAAATATTTTATTATTTAGTTTTTGCTAATGTTCACTAATGTAGTATCAACTACCTACCTACTCTTTTGAAATATAAATATTTTTTTTACACTGGGAACTGGAACGCACTGTACACAATTTGTTAGTAAATATATATGCCTTAAAATAAAAAACAACTGAACTAATAGAGGGTACGAAAAAATAACTTAAATTTATTTGCAAA